ATTGTCTTTATAAGCTACACAGCTCATTTTTAAGTCCACTTCTATCCTCTCACATTTTACTGTAAGTGGCAAGGAGAAACCACATAGCCCCTTTTATATCTTTTTTAGAAATTTCCTCAGCCAGATATCCAAGTTCATCACTTAAAAGTTCTACCTTCACCAAACCTTTGAACATAATTTAAACAAGTTCTTTGCCACTGCATAAAAAGCATCACCCCTTTTTTATTGTCTGATTACATGTTCATCATTTCCTTTTAAAGCCTCACCAGCAGCACATTTAACATCCACATTTCTAGCAACACTCTGTTACAGGCACCATATGTATTTTCTACAACAACAGAGACTTTCTCTATGGCTCTCCTCACTTCCTTCAGAGCCCTCACCAGAATTGCCTTTGACGTCCATAATTCTACCAACTGTTTCTTCAAGACACTCTAGGCATCTTAAAACTCTTCCACCCTCTACCTATTACCCAATTCTAAAACCACTTTCACATTTTAGGTATCTGTTAGAGCAGCACTCCTACTTTTTATTACCAAATTCTGTCTTAGTTATCTAGTGCTGCTGTAACAGAAACTTTATAAATGGATGGCTTTAACAAATAGAAATTTATTTTCTCAGAGTTTATGAGGCTCGAAGTCTGAATTCAGGCCCTGGCTCTAGGGGAAGACTTTCTCTCTCTTTCAGCACTGGTGGAAGGTCCTTGTCTCCTTCTTTTTCCTGGTTCCTTGGAGTTCTCCATGTGACTTGGCATCTGTCTTACCCCATCTCTGCTTCTTTTGCTTGCTTGTTTAATCTCTTTTATATCTCAAAAGAGGTTGACTTGAAACACACCCTACACTAATCCTGCCTCATTAACATAACAGACAATGCATTCCCAAATAGGATTATATCCATAGGCATAGAAGTTAGGATTTACAACACATATTTTTTAGGGGACACAATTCAATCCATAACATACATGTATATTATTTTTCATGTCATGAACTTATGGCTCTATTGTGAAAATGCCATGCCAACTGTCTTAGTCATCTAGTGCTGCTGTAACAGAAATACCACAAGTGGATGGCTTTAACAAAGAGAAGTTTATTCTTTCAGAGTCCAGTAGGCTGCAAGTCGAAATTCAGGGCATCAGCTCCAGGAGAAGGCTTTCTCTCTCTCTCGGCTCTGGAAGAAGGCCTTGTGATGCATCAGTCTTCCCTTGGTCTGGGAGCATCTCAGTGCAGGAACCTCAGGTCCAAAGGACATGCTCTGCTCCCGGTACTGCTTTCTTGGTGGTATGAGGTTCCCATGTGTCTCTGCTCGCTTCTCTCTTTTATATCTCGAAAAAGATGGGCTTAAGACACTATCCAATCATGTATACTTCATCAGTATAACTGCTGCTAATCCATCTTATTAGATCATTGTGACTGAATTTACAACATATAAGGAAATCACATCAGATTACAAAATGGTACACAATTATACGATACTGGGAATCATGACCCAGCCAAGTTGACAGATATTTTTGGGGGACACAATTCAATCCATGACACCAACATTCAAATAAGGGCACATCTGTCAACTGAGAAATGATATACTTAAGATTTTTTGCTCCAATAAGTAGCTATTGTAAACTTATTTAACCTGAAAAATTGGAGAGCCAAAGAAAAGTTAATATTCTTTGAAATATTGTTAGTTGCTTTTGAGTCAGCTCTGATTCACGGCAACCTCATGCATAGCAGGATGAGACATTGCTTGATCCTATACAGTCTTCATGATCATTGGTATATTTGAATCCATTGTTGAGTCTTTTGTCTCAGTGCACCTCGTTGAGGGTTTTCCTCATTTTCGTTGGCCCTCAACTTTTCAAAACATGATGTCGTTTTATAGCAATTGGTCTTTTCTGATGAAGCATCCAAAATTAGGGAGTCAGAGTCACTTCTAAGGAGCATTCTGGTTGTATTTCTTCTAAGACTGATTTGTTTATTTTTCTGACAATCCACAGTATATTCAATATTCTTCACCAGTACCACAGTTTGAATGCAGGAATTCTTCTATCTTCCTTTTTCACTATCCAGCTTTTACGTGTATATGAAGCGATTTAAAAGACATTTACTCTAAAACAAAGATGAGAAGGTAAGGGAGAAGGGAAACTAGATTACTGGAAACAGAACAACCAGAATAGAAATAATGAGAAGTTGGCATACTGTGAAAAAAAAATAACCAATGTCACTGAAAAAATCATGTAGAAGTTGTTAAATGAGCATCTAAGACAATAAAGACTTTCTCTATATTAAATAGGCATCTTAGTTTGCTGTGTAAACTTTCACTGAAAACACAATAAAATATTATTTTAAAAAAAAAGCCATGGCTTGAGTCAGACACATTTTAGTCATCAAAATGACATCTCTGCTTTTTAAAACTTTAAAGAATTTCTTGAAGCAGATTTGCCCAATGCAATATGTTGTTTGGTTTCTTGACCATTGCTTTCACAGATGTAGATTGTTTATCCAAGTAGAATGAAATAATAGACAATTTCATCTTCAAAATGCTTTGATATACTTTGTGAAAAATCATTTTTTTTAATTCACTGAAATTTTACATATATGATTTTTTTTCCTCCTGAAAATGAGTTTTTCAAAGCAGTTAGCCTTTATCTATAGAACTTACTTTTCTGTACATAGCTGAAAGATTATTTTCTGATACGAACAGCAGCGATCTTCCATGTTACTCTTGTTCAGATATGTCACCATTATAGGGAAATTTGCTGAGACCTCCTATGATGGTTTCTTCCTACAATATGGCAGCCTTCTAAATTCAGCTGAGCAAAGATTTAATGTATTTACTGACCCCAAATTATATAAAAAACACTTTATGAAATACTTTTGTTCAGACTGATAATACATATAACACAAAATGTAGACATTCTTGTAACTTCCTCCAGAAGTTAGGTTTGGAATTAAGGATAAAAGAAAAGGTGGTGGCGGGGGGTGGGGTGGTGAGGCGGAGTATCTCGTTTATTGAGAGAGAAGATTTCTATCACCCTGACTTTTTAAAACATAATTCCAAAAGAAGCGAATGTGTAAAATATTTGCCACTAAACCTTTTTACTTTATAAGAGATTTCCACCTTCAGAAAAAGAGGCAATAAAGACATTCTGAAACATTAGTTGATAACTGTGTGGAAAATAAGAAACAAAACTGGAAGCAAGAAGAAACAAGAAAACATTGACAACACACAAATTGGCTGCTAACAAATTGAAAAATATGGAGGACAAATGGTCAGCTCTTCACTCATCCGTTATCCCATTGAGTATCACTATACACAGTACAGTAACCGATGCTTGTAACCATGAATTTGTCATAAGAGAAAGTTAAATTATCTTTTTTTTTTTTTTTTTGGTATTCCCTCTTTAAAAGAACATATCCATGTTCAACATATTTTAGAGTCAAAATCCTCTTTTTCTTTTTTAAGTGGGGGGTGGTTCAGTTCTTCAGTTATCAAGAAAATTTAACCATGTAGAGTACTTTATAAGAATAATGCAATAAAATTTAGTGCTATTCCTTTGTCTATAAAATTCTTGGATTTTCTTCTCAAAATGTGTGGGAGAGACATTCTGAATATATGAGTAGCTACCATTTGTAGATTCTTACTATATGAAGAGCTTTATATACTTCTTTAATAATCATAGTACACCTGCAGTAGATACCGCTTTTCCTATTTTCAGAGAAAGAAATTGAGGCACAGTTTAAGAAACTTGTTCAAGGTCTTTCAATTAGTAAGTCACCAAAGTTACTAATTATGTAAATAATTATCCCACTCAGTAACCCTCGTTTTAAACTGTTTGGTTAATTGTCAATTAAATATGGGAATTAAAGGCTTGATGGTCTTGATTAAATTTTTTTTATTACAAAAAATTAAATCAACTTGATTTTGCTTAAATAAATATGGGACTTGATTTTAAGGAAGTACTGAGGTCTTCTAGAAATGAAAGGCAAGTTGTGAAGCTAAAACCATATGGCCGACTATCTTGGCTTCTCTTTGTGCTTCTGCTTTATTTTATTTTTGAAAGGTTTTTCTGTGGATCTTTGCACTTGGTGAAAAACAGAAACCCACAGCTCCTGTTTCCATTATCATCAACTTTATGCCCATGGAAAGACTTAATTCCAATTTTTAAGGGAAGAAGACCTGATTAGCCTATCATGAGGCAGGAGATTAAATCCCTGATCTAATCCCTCATGGTTAGGGAAGCAAAATTGCTTAATAGTCACATGACTATCATGGTCTACCAACCCTGTGTGATGGGGGTGGTCAGGTGATGGCAAGGAGGTAGTTTTCAGAGGCAGGAAGCAGGACAGATAGTGTGATGTTTCAGCTCAGACAACATTGTGTGGTGGTTGTTACTGAAGTCAACTTTCTAGATTCATCCCTCAGCTCTGCTAGGGATGATGAGTGACCTTCGGCAAGTATTTAACCTTTTGGTGCTTACTTATTTTCTTCATCTTTACATGGAGATATAATTACATTGTTGCATGTAAACTATTTAGAACTTTTCCTGACATATATGAAACACTTAATACGTCTTGATTATTGTTTTAGGATAGTGGCCAATTGTGGCATAAATTTTACTTATAAATAAATTAATCTGATATTGAGTTTAGTAATATTCCATTACTACTGTGACCTTCAACTCTTCAAAAATGATATTTATAAAATTATCTTGCTGTTATTTTCATAAGAGTTATATTATCTATAAGCCTTTTCAAAATATAGATAACCAAAGAGAAGAAAAAGTTATAGCAGGCTAGTTATTTGTTGCAATAATGAAGGTTGATTTCCTAATAAACTTAAAAAGATAGTTTAATTCTTCCCGATCAAAAGAACATTTATACAGAAGAAATTTCAATAGATCATATTTGAGTAATTACTGAAAATTGTGAACACAATATGTTTGTTAAATTAAATTATACAATGAAGTCGTTTAATATTCTTTTGATTAACTAGACATTTATTTTCAGATACATGACAGATGGAGGGCTCAACCTGTATACTAGAAGTCTGAACCGAATACCAGACACTGCAACTTCCAGGGATGTCATCCAAAGAGGGGTTCATGATGTGACAGTGGATGCAGACAGGTAACATTACCAATATATGTGATGTTGAGGAGCGAATAAAACAGGTTCATAAATGAAATCGTAAGAATTTTACAGTATAAACTGAAAGGATTTTGTATTGCCATATAATAATTATTTTTGAAGTAGTTTAAAACTAAGGTGATGTCATTTGCAAAACATTTTTAGCTCTTTAATACTGAAAAAAAATTGTACTGCTGGTGAGAATATTTTTTAAATTTCAGGTTATGTAGTGACAAATTTTAATATTTATAAAACCATAATTTCCCCTACTTGAAAGGAACCCTGCTTGATAAATTCCTTTCAGCTCAGATACCCTCAGATTTACCTGGAAGCTAATGATCAAAGATTCTAAAAAATTTCACATTATCAGGTACCAAAGGCTTGATGCTTTTCTTAAGGGTATTGTTGAGAATCTACAACAACTCTTGCTTTAGGCTCATTTCTAATACTCTATTGTCTCAAATTGCTTAAAGGGGTTTGTGTGTTCATATACCAGTTATTATTTTGCTGGAAATTGTTTTGCCAATTGTATCAGAATCATCACTGCTGGAGAACATTGCCTTTGTAAAATAATATTGTAAGATGTGTTCCTGACCAGATTTTGCCCTGTCTTCACTCAGAATCTTGAATTTACTGAGCAGGAAGAGATTGCTCATTTTCAGTACTACTGTATTTCAATACTTAGAATGGTTCTTGGCTCTTTAATTCAGTAGTCATGAAGAGGACAAAGGTTAAAACTTATTGTATCTACATTTCAAAATAACAGCTGTGTAGGTTCATTTAGCATATTCCAATGCAACCAATGCCAGAGCTAGACAGTGAATTCGGCTATTAGTCTTTAAATTTCTCCTTACTCAAATTCGGTTGATATCTTCACTCATGGTGGTCAGAGGAATGGTCTCAGCTGTCACTCTGTGTGTATGCTAGTCTCCTACTCTGTGTACCGTGTGTGTGAAGTATATGGTTAAAAATGGCTCATGAAAACTTTTGCCCACCACCCACCTCCTTCAACTCTTCTTCAACAATTTTCCTCCCAGTCTCCTTCACTAACTTTAACACAGTGGACTTCTTTCTGTCATTTGAGTAGTCTAAGCTCATTCCCATCTCAGAGCTTTTGAATTGGTGTTTTCTCTGCCTGGAACATCCTTTTTCATGTTCACTGTATTATTGCCTTCACCTCATCATTGGCCTTAACTTAATGTTATCCTCTCTAACTGGGTAGCCAAGCTATACTTCCTTTCCAGTCACTTTCTTACCTATGAAAACCAAAAAACTCCATTTCTGTCCAGTCAATTTCAACTTATAGGGACCCTATAGGACAGAGTAGGACTGCCCCATAGGGTTTCCAAAGAGCGGCTGGTGGATTCGAACTGCCAGCCTTTTGGTTAGCAGCCAACTGCTTAACCACTGCACCACCAGCGTCTCTGTTACCTTGTATTATTTTCTTCACTATATTTAGCAGTCCCTGGATATACTTTATTTACATATTTGTGTTCTATATCCCCATTGTAATTTAAACTCTTGAGTGCAAAATTTTTGTCATAGTCATTATATATTGATTCTTTAACAAATGTTAGTGGACTGAGTGAACAAATGGATGAATATGGCTAGCAATCGGATCCAGTTGGCTGGAGAGGCAAATGAGGCAAGAAAAGAGCCAAGGTACTTTAAGAATATTATGAAATAGAGGGAATGAGTCACGTGGAAAACTAGGAGACAGTGATTAGAGGGGAGGACATCCAAAATGTGATCGATACTTTGCAAACTAATGACCTACAGTTTCTAACAGTGGAAAACAATAAAGGAGGGAAAATCCGATGGTCTTTGAGAAATGAAGTTGTGAGAACAGAACCCAGGAAGCAACACAAAGGTGACTTTAATTTGGAGAGGACTGGGATAACCTGCACTTCCTGATCTATTCAGACTCTAGATTGAGAAACCTCAGACCAACAGAAAGACCTAGGGGTCTAATAAATTGGCATCTGTGAAGTCACTGGTTCTAAACTGTGGTACCTGGACCAGCAGCATCAGCATCATTTGATAACTTGTCAGAAAATGCAGATTCTTTTTTTTTTTTTTAATTGTACTTTAGAGGAAGGTTTACAGAGCAAATTAGTTTCTCAAACAACAGATACACATATTGTCTTGTGACATTGATTGCCAGCCCCATGACATGTCAACACTCTCCCCTTCTCGGACTTGGGTTCCCTGTTACCAGCTTTCCTTTCCCATCCTGCCTGCTCATTCTTGCCCCTGCGTTGGTGTGCCCATTTAGCCTCTTTTTGTTTTATGGGCCTGTCTAATCTTTGGCTGAAGGGTGAATGTCAGGAGTTTCTTTGGTATTGAGTAAAAAGGGTGTCCGGGGCCATACTCTCAGGGTTTAGAAATGCAGATTCTTAACTCCATCCAAGACCTAATGAATCAGAAACTCTAGGGATGGGGCCCAGCAATCTGAGTTTTAACAAGTCTTCCAGGTGATATCACTATCTTAAAATAACCAAATAGATGTCAGACCTAGGAAAACATAAATACTGTTTAACATAAACAATTTAACATAAAAATGACACAGCCAGCTGTTGTCTGTCAAGGGAAAGAGACTATCAAAATGTTAAAATATACCAGTGTCACTAATCTTTAAATTAGGAATCCTAGATTCAAACTCATAGTCACACTGAATCCCTAAATCTCCAGTTGTTAGCAATCTGCAGAAAATTGCACTACCTCCACAAAGGGGGTCATGGGAAAATTCTCATAAAATCAGATTGAGAGTTGTTTTCAAGGGAGGAGTCCTGCTATTTCCATGCCTTTTCTATATTGAAAATTAAGGGCAACAGTGATTCATTCTAAACCACCAAGCAAACATCTCTAGGGGTAGGATTCATGATGCTTGTCACTAGTCTGTGTATACTCTAATAATTAATTCTGGTCTGTGTTGATTTTTCCAGCATAATCACTGAATTACTATATTCCCATATCTTAAGTATTTCTTTCATTACCTTACTGACTTTCAATAGTAATTAAAAGTAAACAGAAAAAAGATTAATAGGCTAAGATGTAAATAAATATAATTATGTCATTTCATAATCAACTGGCCAGTCTCTTTTTCCTGTGTTTTCTTTAAGTAAAGAGAGAGCAATGCAAGACATGGGGAAGTAAAAAAAGTGTTATATGGTAGCCTGTCAACTTGCCTTTGGCAGTCTGCTCACCATTGCAGGCTTAGGAACTGGTGCTGTGCTTCTCTCCTGTGTCCTAACAGTCAGGATAAACTGATCCTATTGGGAATGATCTGATAAGTTCTAGTATTTTTAGGTAATACCCCTCCCTACTAGAAATAATCCACATCACAAAGCATTGACAGGTTTTTTGCTCAATCCTGGGGACCGTGTCCTCAAGAGTCTTACATCAGAAGGGTATTACCATAGGGAATTGTTAAAACCAAAAAGACATCGAGACCCAAAGGATACTTGAGTAATATGAATGGCCCGAGGTGTAGATATTTTTTGTTGGAATATGTTTTGATACTTTTCAAAACATACGTACAGGTGGCTACAATCTCTGTCACCTCTTTATAAGACTGAGCTTGACATTACTCACCTCTTTATAAGACTGATCTTGACATTAAACTTGACCAGAACTAAACTGTGTCATTGTTAGGTGCTGTCAAATCAGTTCCTACTCATAGTGAAGCTACATACAATAGAACAAAACACTGCCCAGTCCTGCACCATCTTCACAATCATTGCTATGTTTGACCCCATTGTTGTAGCCACTGTGTCAAATTTAAACTGTAGCCTTACAGAATTCAAGCTCCAAATGGAAGAGATAGTCCCCAGTACTCTTATTTATACAGCATTTTTACCCTGTCTTCTTCCAAAATAATTTATTAGTGAATCTGATGACAACAGTGATGGTGATGATGAAGATGATTCAGGTTTGTTAATAAAACCAGCAATAGTTGTTAACAACACCACAACATCAATATTGAGGACTTATTATGTATATACAACATGTCAAATTACTTAAATGCATTATTTTACTGCCTCTTTGCTACAGCACTATTAATGAGCTTTATTACTACCATTATATGTGAGGCAACAAGCTCTTAGATCAAGTGACTTGCCTATAGATACTTAGTTAATAAGTGGTTGTGTCAGGATTTGAATCCAGTTCCTGTGCTCTTACTATATTTTACAAAATTATTAATTTAAAGATTTTATTGTGCCTGGATGACACTTTCTGATTTTGTAAATGATTTCATTTTCCCTCTTGACCTAAATGTATCTATGAAACGTGAACTTTAGCTTCATAAAGATTGGTAAGTAACTTCAGAATGTGATCATAATTCATTTCTATGGCATATTGTCAATAAATCTAGAAACAAATGACAGAACGGTCTCCCCACATGTGCTAGAGCTTCTAAAAGGCTAGCTAACTTAATATCAATAAATCAATTTAGCAGTGTTTTGTTCTTTTTTATATAAAAACCTGTCACAATCTTGAAATCTAATGTCTGCTGAAATATCTATTTATGATAGGCTCAAGGAAATAACAGAAAAATGAAAAAGGGAGAAATACGTTCAGTTTATATACTGAAAAATACTAAAAGAGTACTAATGTGAAGGGAAAAGCAATTTGGATCTTTTTTGTTATACTTTTTTTTTTTCTTGAAAAGCAATAAAAGAGGAGAGATTATATCAGCTAATTTAACAGTTTAATTGGATTTAAGAAATTGCATCTATACATGAAACACTTTCTTTTTTTCCCCTTCGAGTAGTAGGGGTGAATTTTTTTTTTTTTTTTTTTTTTTTTTACCATTTTATTGTTTTAGGTGAAAGTTTACACAGCAAATTAGATTCCCATTCAACAATTCATACACAGATTCTTCTGTGACATTGGTTACAATCCCCATACTATGTCAGCATACTCATCATTTCACCCTGCCTGCCCCATTTCCATCCCTCTAGTTTCCCTGCCCCTCCTTGTCTTCTCATCTTTGGTTT